AATTGAGGCTAAATTGGTTCCACATGAGGTTCAGCTACCGATGATGAAACTCGGTTCTATCTTTGATTTCGGAGAGATGTTTGGGGTAAGGTTGTTGGTCTACGCAGCAGCTGTGTGCCAATCACAAAGCCAAGAACCCGTCCATAAATAACTTATGCCCGATTCTCGCTGCTTTTTCTGCCTTTTGCGCAAATATCTCCATGCCGGGCAGGCAGGCGGGGCCATACATACATATAACATGGCAAACTAAAATCAAAAGAAACAGAAGCAGCAGCAACAGCAACAGCAGCAATTCAAACGAAAACAAGGCGAAAAAAATTAAGAAATTCTCCGGCACACACTTTGGAGTTTATCATTGTAATGCAAATGAAGGAAGTGCGCGAGACTGCCTGTGACTCTGTTCCCCCTCCTCGCCCGCCCCCTCTTTTCGCAGCCCACCTTTGCCATTCTGTAGAATCCGAGGTGAGGCTGTGGAGCAGCAACAACACATCAGCAACAACAGCAACGGCAGCAGCAACAGCAACAAACACAGCGGCAACATTTTGATGCCGTGGGAAATGCGAAAGCGGCACACGATTCGCTGGCTGGCACACTGAAAGAAATTAAGCGCACTTAAGTTTTGATTTTCTTGAATATTAAAAAAACAGTAAGTTTCATAAATATCATTAAAATAGTTAAGAAAATTGAAAACCATACCATAGAACTTCAAATAGATAAAAACTAAATTTTAATTTCGAATAAGGTAATCTGATCTAACAAATGGCATAGATATTGTGATATTTAAACTGAATTTAGATACTTTCGAATACTATTTAATCAAATTAAAAACCAAACATATAAATTCGCAATAACAAATGGTTCTAAGTAATGTTTTTAGCTAAGCCATTATATGCCTTATACAAAAATAAATTCTGTAGAGCTTTTATGAACTAATAAATTGCTTTTCATACAAAAACATAAATACTTCATTTTATTTATACCTGTCATCAAAGTTTAAAATTTTTAAATTCTTTTTTTTTTTTTGTTTGAAAATTTTTTTTTAATTTTAATTTAAACGTTAAACTTAAACATACAAAGTATATTGTTTATACGTAAAATATATTTATTTTTAAGTATCTACACCGCTTACCCTCTACTCACTTTTCACTCACGATGTATTTCATTACCCACAAAATAACATTATTATTTCCAGTGCACTGGCTTATTCTTCGATGTTGGGGCAAATGTGGTGCAAGTTGGGGCGGAATATCTGCTCTTACTGTTGCTGCAGTCGGTTTTTCAGTGCGTCCGTCAGCCACTCTCTCAGCCAGTCAGCGAATGTGATTGCACAAGAATGGCAGCGAAAAAGTTATGAATATGAATAAATAATTTTACGCAGATTGCCACGGCTGAGATAAAATATGCTTGCTGGCAAATGCAGGAATATACAAGTGCGTTACCTCCACACCTTCTGCACGCTACTTTCTTTGGCAATCAGTGTCAACATAATAAAAGTATTTTTTGGGGGGGAAGCATTCTGCAACGTGTAAAAGTTGCAAAGTGATTGAAAACAAAACTTTGCTGATTTTGAAGGGGGCAGAAAAACCAGTTTACAAGTAACTACATAGATCATGCCATAGAGAGTTGTGACCTGATTTCATGTGGGAGCATCCTAGAAGTGTAAATCGATACATAAGAGACCATCATTTAATTTTTTGAAACAAAGTAGTGCCTTTTAAGTTTATTAATCTTAACTTGCCAATACATTTTCTTAAAATTTATAGATAATTTTAGTTAGGAAAATACGAACTCGACAATAATAGTTATATATTGAGCTTGCAGTACTCTTAGTTGCATTCAGCCATTCTTAAGTTATAGCTATTTTATTCATCCACTTAGTTTATTTAAAAAAACATGCCACTTCAAATGATTCTTGTCTGGTTTCTCAAGGACCTACGAAATAGTTAAATATTCCAAGTTCTCGAAAAACCGCATGCATAAACACCGGACTGCAGACAATAGTTTCGCCGAGCTCTGCAGCATTGCGGCCCAATTTGGCCTGGCCAGAACGGAGCCACTGCAACTGCGGCCAGATTGACCGAGGGCCCATATCCACCTACCTACCAAACGGCGGACAGCCATCTCGACAAAAACGACCAAACGACAGTCGCGTCGTCCAACTTGTTTTGTAGTTGTCTATTTATGCGCTTAGTGCTGTGCGAGTACGAGTATAGTATGCAAATAGTTGGCGTACCTATCGCATTGCCCTCGCAGCCCCGCTGCCACACTGAACCAGTTTTTGTTTCGAGCGGCCCTCGTCCTGCCCCTTGCCCCTGCCCCTTGCCCCATGCCCCTGCCACACCCCCTGGCCAATCCACCCTTGTTTGCATTTTTTATTAACAAACAACAGAAAACGCGGGGGCAGCGGAAGGGAATGCAAAATATTTGGTAGAAATGAAAACCCTTTTTTTTTGCCGTGCCAATGGGAATGGGATTGGACAGGGGGCCGGACGCTTAGCAATCCGGCTAAAATGCCGATAAGCCGGAGAGGGTTGTACGATTGTACCCCCCTTTGAAAATAAAACCCAACCCTTGGGCGGATAAGTTAAGTTGCTGTGATGTGTTTGCTGTGTTGTTTGTGTTGTTTGTGTAGTTACAGCGATATTTCATGTACGCCACGCATAATCGTTGTTGTTTTAGTGTATTAATTTTGGTTTTTAATAAAGCATAAATATTTGTGTTTACGCTTTGGACTAACTCACCCCGAGGCCAGCCTGGTTTTGTTAGAGATTGGCAAATCAAAATTTAGTTCCATGCCCAGCTTCAGCGGCAGCCCTGTGAAATCCTACTGACTTTGCACATAGGATAGACATTTGTTTGGTGCGAGAGTAAATAGTTTTCGGATGTGCCCGAGGGACCCATTTCGGCGTTATCCGTGGGTAAAGCCACACTATATATACGGTTATCGGTTCGCTGCCTGTCAAACAGCATTAATTGCGAATTCCTCTATGACAGCCGGCTGAACAACAGGTTAATGGTACGCAGCATTGGCCATATCGCAAGCCGACTTAAGGCCTTTTATGGCCTGCAAGTGATTTGCCTTACACATGCAGTTTGCATGTTTTAATTATTAAACAAATCAATTTTCTTGGACTCAGCGACCCAACAACTTAATGGCATTTATCCATTTCTTTGGGCACCGCCGACCCGGTGGCTTATGCAAGTGCACACCCGTGCAATTAAATTTGCATAAATGCATTTTTAATATTGTTCAATTTCTGCAAACGCGTCAACCCACTTCACCGACTTTAATGGGCCGTCTCGTTAGACGAGAGCTGGTCAAGTCGGGAGTGCCGGCTAATGACATTGAGTGGGTGGCGCCGGGGGAAAACTTTAAATCGATTTCACTAGTTTCCCAGAACTATAAGATATTAATGTTGGAAATTAGAGAAGTTGATTGAGCCGTTTTCTTGACTTTAGACTATAATGGTCATTCCAAGTTGAACTTTAAATTCCTCAACATATTTTTCACTGACATATCTTTAAGTCCTATGAAAAGTTATTATCTGCCATTTTAATATGACAATCTCTTAATGGTTTTAACGCATTTGGATTAATAGAATCCATGTCAATTACGGATATTAATTGGATGACAAATTTAATGGTAGCTTAAATACTTTTTCTTGGGCAGTTTTGTATTTATTTTTTGGGGAAGGTCAAGGGTCAGAGCCAACTACATCTGCTGGTCAACTGGCTAAATAGCCCCACCCATCAATTTGTATCTACGTGTGGGCGCTTCCCATTTCGCCATTAAATGTGCCACTAGCTGGGACTTGCCTTCATTTTTCTGCACTTATTTTGCTTAGCTTCGTTACTTATTGATTTTCAATTAGTTTGTTTTGCTTTTCGTATCCTTGGATTGGGATTTTTCAGCTGGGTATTGGGTGTCTGTTTTTTTTATTTTCGCAATTTCCACCAGCGATTCGACATACTTAATTCTCCATCGATGACGGTGAGTGTGTGTGGTTGTGCATTACATGACACAAAGTTTTGCACTCATAAACTATTCAATTGCAGTATTTGTTTTCTCCCAGCGCTTCCATCGATTTTGGCCGCTACTTTGGCAAGAGTTTGTGGCTCTTTGGTTTTGGCTTTGGCTGTGACTATGACTTTGCCAAAAAAGTGTCGGGGCTAGACCAGAAATAGACACATGCCAATACGCTGGTCATAAATAAAGCATTTTAAAACATTTTAAAACCAGCTTCAAGTCCGGTCAAAGTTTAATGGCCTGCACTCGCAATCGAAGCTAATTAGAAAAACTGAATCGTTTGTAATATTAATCCATTTATTCAGTTGTTCGGCCATGCGTCTAAATGAAATGTATTTTATGGAATTTGTTTCCTTCCTTTTTGTTATATTTTATTATTTTAATTCGGAATATTAGCTGATGATAGAGTTGCGGTTTGCCGACGCATGAAAATAATGGGCGAAAAAAAATAATTATGCAATTGCAGATGGCGAGTTGAGCAAATGGGTGAAATACAATTTTCGCGTTGGACCGCATTTTAATTTTGTTTTATAATTTGGCAAATAATAATTTACATAAACGAGTGTCCGCGTGTATGTGAGCGATTGTGGCATATGCAAAGTGTTTGTTTGAGTGCGTTTTCCATTAATTTATTTATATATAATTATTTACAAGCAATTAACTTTGTGCATAGCTTTTGTTTAGTTAGTTTTGGCAATTCAGTTATGCATTTGGGTTTTAGTTAACGTTTGCATTGTGACCTTTGCAGTGCCCACAAACCGAGCAAATGCCAAATGAAAATGAATAAATCTCCTTTTTTTTCCCTTTGTGTCCTGGTTTCCTTTTGGGAACGGTGTCAGTTGCATGTGTTTCACAGTAGAGTTCCTTTGTGGAAAACGTACTTTATTTAATGCCATCTCCGTTTGCCATTTCTACAAATGACCAATTGGCCAACCCCCAAGTTGGAAGAGTTGATATGAAAAGATAGTTGTGATTTAATTTTTGTCAATATTTTTGTAATGTTTTTGCATTTTATTTTCTCAGATATATTCTTCTGGTGGTTTTATGTAATTGTAATAATTATTTTAATAATACATTTCGTCATTAAGTAAATTTAATTCAATTAATTTAGCTCCATCATCTCTATACAGTACGGTACATAAATACATTAAGTGCTCTAAATGTGGTTGCCCTTGCGATTGTTCTATATACATTTACGTTTATCAAGATATTCATTTAGTTATTGTTTCGTGTAGCTTAGGATGAATGAATCGACAAACACGATCAACTGGATGCGAACGAATGTGTGTATTTTGTATGGTATGGTTTAGCATTACTTTAAGTTGTAGTTAACAATAGTTTAGTTTAGTTTAGTTTAGTTTTAGGTTTACGTTCTTTACGCCTGGCTAGAACTACTATGTATAATATATATAGGTCTACGCATTACAGTTAGGGGCCTACTCGCATGTGCCGCTTTAATTATAGTTAATTAGTATATCACATTGAATTTGAAAGTGTTTCTGCAACATTTCTAGTTAATTGTTTGTTTACGTTTATGGTAATTATCAATATATTTGTAATATTAATGTATTCCTATATGCTCGTACATGAATGTGTGGGCGTGTCTTGTGCTTCTTTTGGCAGTGCTACACATCTACGAAACTTGAACATCAACAACCACAACATCCAAAGGCGAAATGCTCCAGACAAAAAAAAATACGTATAAATATTATATGTGTTGTGGTTCAAGAAATGCCTACGAAAAAGTCTTTTTGTTTTGGATGTCTGTGTGTGTCCGTGTGTGTGTGTTGAGTGTGCGTCCTGTTTGTGCTTCCTCTTGCCGAGTCCTTTTGCGCCAGTAAGCGATCAGCTTCAAGATGGCCGCTCCTGCGCTGCGAGGCTGAAAGGGGATGGCCATTGCAGAGTTTACACGAGGAAAGCCTGCCCATTCTTATTGGCCGCTTCACTGCCAGCTGCCTGTTGCTGTTGCTGCTGTTGCTGCTGCTGTGCCGCTGCTGCGGAAGTTGAGGCCTGAGCCGTCGACTGCGTACTGGTGCTGGCCTGGCTCAAGCCGCTGCCACTGCGCAGGTGCACCGGGGCCGAGGCCACGGGCATGGCCATCGCCTGCTGCTGCGGCATGGCCCGGAACTGCTGCGGCTGCAGCAATCGCTGCTGCTGCAGTTGCTGCTGCTGTTGCTGGTGCAGCCGCAACTGCTGCTGGTGCATCAAGCCCGTGGGAATCATGGAGAGCGCCTCGTGCTGATCGTACGCACTGTACTCCGACTCGATGCTGTGGTAGATGTGCTCCGAGGGCGGACGCATGGGCATGGGCATAGAGTCGACGATGCGGGCGGCACCGCCTGGGCGGGTGGGCCTCGGCGAGGGCGTGGCCGTGGTGGCCGAGCTGTAGTTGGCCTCCATGTCCTCGGTGCAGTAGTAGGCGGGCGGCGGTGGCGCCTGGCGGAAGATCATGCCCGGCGAAACGGGCTGCTTGAAGCGCTCGTGGTGGTCCAGCGTGTAGTTGTTGCCGCGCGGCGACAGCTCGATGGGGATGGCATAGCGCAGCTTCTCCCAGAAGTAGCGGTCGCAGGTGAGCAGGCGATTGGAGGGCACCGACTTGAGGTAGGGCGACAGCTCGGCCACATCCTCTGCCTCGGCGGACACGCTCGTCTCCTCGATGATGACCAGTTTCTGGGCCAGGCCGCGCAGCGACTCGTGGAAGGCGTTGCGGAACTCGATGCGGTTCCACTCGGTGGCCAACAGGTTGCGTGTCAGCACCAGGATGATCTTACGCGACGCCCGGGCGCCCTCCACCAGCTGCAGGTGCGAGGCCTGCGGCGGCAGATCCCGCTGCTGGATGCAGAGCCGGAAGGGCGGACGTCCGTGCTCCAGCTCGGCGGCTATGTTGCGGCACACGAACTCGTAGTCCTTCTCCGAGTGCAGGATGATGGCGTCGTACAGCTTGCCGGCATCCTCGAACCGGGGCTCACATACCCGCACGCCGTAGTGGGCAAACAGCCACATGCGAACGCTCTCGCGGAAGACGAAGACGATGATGAGCACGACGACCAGGAAGATCAGCACCAGCACGGCGGCCAGCAGGGGCAGCCTGTAGCCGCCGGCCAGATCCTGCGACGAGCTGATGTTGCTGGCACTGGCATCGAGCAGCTCCGAGCAGTCCGGCCCGTTGGCCAGGTTGCCAATCAGCTCCAGTTCCCGCTTGATTCCCGCATCCAGGCAGTAGATGTCGTGCGAATCCCGCACAACCATGGCATTGTCAGACACAAACTGGGCCAGTTCCCTCAGCTGCTGGCAGCGACACGACCAGGCATTCCGGCCCAGCGTCAGGCCCTGCAGACTGTGGCGGTACTGCAGGTGGGGCAGGGAGCTCAGCCGGTTGTTGTCCAGCCGCAGCACCTCCAGCGACACCAGCGGCTCGAAGGTGGCATTCGAAATGTGGGTTAGCATGTTGTTGTGCAGGTAGAGTTCGCGCAGCAGTCCCAGCGATCGGAACTCGCTGCCCTCCAGAGCGGTCAGTTTGTTGTTCTCCAGGTGGAGCACGCGCAGATTGACCAACTGGGCCAGACTGCCGTTCTGCAGGGTCATCAGATTGGAGGCGTTCAGATAGAGGGCACGCAGGTTGCGACGACCCACCAAGTGGCCCACCTCCAGCTCGGGCATGTTGTTGCCATCCAGGTAGAGATCGCTCACGTCCAGCGGTATGCGATTGGGCAGGGCGGCCAGGTCCTGGCGCCCGCAGTCCACGATGTTGGTGGCCCAGGTGGCGTCGTGGAAGCAGCTGCAGTTCCCGGGGCAGATCACCTCGCACTCGCACTGCTCGTACTCGCAGCAGTGGCAGGTGGGCGGGCAGTGGCTGTCGTACTTGCAGACGAAGTCGGAGGCGGACAGGGTGGCCAGCGGACGCAGTGGAGCACTGCGACTGTGCGGCATCAGGCACTCGATGTTGCCCAGATCGACCACGTGCGGATGCTGCCGGGTGGTCAGGTTGTTGATGCGCTGCAGCCACTCCATGGAGCAGTCGCACTCGAAGGGATTGCCGCCCAGGTAGAACTCGGGCACGGGCTTGTCCGCCGAAACGGGCGCCACGCGCAGGGCATTCAGAGAGATCTTGGACAGCACATTGGCGTACAGATCCACTCGGGCCAGCCGTGTCTTGTCCACGAACGTGTTGGCCTGGATCTGGCCAATGATGTTGTTGTTGATGAACAGCAGCTCAATGGAGTTGGGCACCGACATGGCTCCGATCTCCGTAATGCGGTTGTGCGAGGCATCCAGTGTGGTCACCCGGATCTCCTCCTGCAGCTTGTAGTAGTTGCCTAGGGCCTCGATGTAGTTTCCATGGATGTCCAGCCACTTGAGGTTGGAGGGTATGAAGGCGTAGTCGAACCACACCAAATGGTTCTCCGACAGATTCAGCCAGAGCAGCGAGGCCAGCGTGGCAAAGATGCCGTTGATGTCGGTGAGGAAGTTCTTGTCCAGGCGGATGGCCTCGATCTCGGTGTTCTTGTCAAAGGCTCCCCGCTCGATGCTCTGGATACGGTTCTTGGCCAGATTCAACACGCTCAATCGCGGCAGGTCCTGAAACATGCCCACGGTGATGTTGCCAATGCGGTTGTCGATCAGCCGCAGACCCGTCAGCTGGTTCAGATTGCGGAACGTGTTGTTCTTGAAGTCCGAAATCTGATTCTCGCCCAGATCCAGGGTCTTCAGCATGCTCAGATCCTGCACGGCCTCGGGCACCTCGGTCAGCTGATTGGAGCTCAGGTCCAGCTCCTTCAGATCGGAGCAATTGCGGAAGGCCTGCGTCTCCACGATGCTCACCAGGTTGTTGTTCAGCGTGAGTTTCGTCAGCACATACAGTCCGTTGAAGATCCGGTTGTCGAGTGTGTGCAGACGGTTCTCGGCCAGATTGAGGGTGTGCAGATTGTACAGCGGCAGGAAGGCGCCCTCCTCGATGTGGCCAATGGAGTTGTTGCGCATGTCCAGGATCTGCAGGAAGTACAGCTCCTTGAAGGTCTTGGCCCCGATACGGGTCAAGGCATTATTCGAAAGGTTCAGCACAATCAGACGGATGAGACCGGCAAAGGTGCTGTTGTCCACGTGGTGGCTGGTCAGCTGATTGCCACTCAGGTCCAGCACCAAGAGCTGCTCCAAGCGATGCAGCAGACCCTTGGGCAGGTCGTACAGATCGTTTCCCTGCAGATGAAGCTCCCGCAGCTCCTTGTTGCCGGCGAAGGCCTCCGAGGGCAGCGATTCCAGGTGGTTGTACGAGATGTTCAGCACGCGCAGCGAACTCAGACCGGCCAGCGCGTTGGGCGCCAGACTGCTGATGTTGTTGTGCTGCAGACTGAGGGTCTGGAGGCGCCTCAAGCGCGACGCCCCCCACGCATCGGGCAGGGCTCGCAGCTCGTTGAAGGACACATCGAGGGTCTGCAGTTCGGAACCGCCGCTGACGGCTCCATTGGCATTGCTCAGCGCCGAGCCGGCACACAGTTTCTCGGAGAAGCCGAGGAACTCGGCGGACCGTATCCGGTTCTGGGTGAGATTGAGCAGCTGCAGGCTGGGCATCGAGCACCAGACGCCCTCGGGCAGCTGTCGGATGTTGTTGTCGCCCAGATGCAGCTCGGCCAGCTCCTTCAGGCCCTGGAACGACTGACCATGCAGGTCCAGCGTCTTGCCCGGTCCCCACACCGCATTGTGCGACTCCAGGGTGAGCCGCTTGAGCGACATCAGTCCGTCGAAGGCGTTTGGCGGCACTCGCTGTAGCTTGCAGGAGTCGATCCGCAGCTCCGACAGCTTCTGCAGCTGACGGAAGAGTCCGGGTGCCAGCTCGCTGCCGTGGAGCAACTCCTGGCTGCACTGCAGCTCCAAACGGCTGGACGCCTCCGCCACCTGAAGGTCAAGTGGGGATCCCGATCCCGATCCGGATGCGGCCGATTCCAACGCACGAACACTGCACCGGATGTCCATGGTGGACTGGCCGTACTGCCAATTGCACTGCTGCGCATGCGCAATCGCAATCGCCAGCGAAAGGAGAAGCAACAGGCAGGCGATGGAATTTGTGGCTGGCATGGCGGTGATTTGTGCTCAACTAGTTAACTTTAGGTAATTTGCTTTTCGATTTTCTTTTTTTAACCAGCACTTTTTAGCTGTGGGTTGTGGGTGGTTGGTTGCGGTCACTTTCTGGTTTTCATTTTTCGATCGCTTTTCACGCAGCCCGAGTGCCCGTAATCCTGGTGTGAGCTGGCTTTGCGACAAACACTTAGCGATTTATTCACTTGTTTCGTTTTTGATTTTGTGTGTTGTGATTTGTGTTTTGTTTTGTTTTGTTTTGTTTGGTTTGGTTTTGTTTCGTTTTGTTTAAACAACTTGCAATTTGGGTAACGGTAAACGTGAACGGTAGTAGTTGGCACTTGGCGCGACTCAGTGTTCGACTTCGGTGCGATTTCGTGGCGATTCGTGTCGGCGAGAGCTCGTTTTCTCAAAACATGTTTGCCGCCTCGCGTTTCGATTGAAACTGATTGCTGGAGTTGGCCATCTCGACTCCGTTGGCTCGTTGAAAATGTGAAACGACGTCGCCGTCGCTGCCTCGACGCTGCCTCAGAGCAGAGCGCTCACACACACGCGCCGCAGACAGACAACAACGTGTCGGTGCATGCATATGCATGTGCATGGAGCATGCACTCTCGCGCTCGCGCCCGCACACACACATGCAGCGCTGCCGCTGCCTAGCTGCGCTGCCACGCTCTCTGCTACACACATACACGACGAGCTGCATTTCCTGCCTGCATGTGTCGGCACACACACGCGAGAGCGGCTCTCGCTCTCCCGCTCTCACCGAAAGTAGGGGAAATGTTGCACACACACACACACACACACACACATGAGGGCTAGAAAACATTAACCCTTCGCTGCGCTCTCTCTCTCCAATTCCCGTCCGTCCACACAATTAGCTTAACACTAGGGAAATGGAAATGGAATAATTCCGGGTTCAGATGGGTTATCAGCTATCAATGGAAAATGGGGACTTATCTGCTATGACCCCACGACTATTTGATTTGCCATAAGTGGGAATTATTTCAAAATTAGCTGAGCCCTCGAACACAGCGCCTTTAAATGCTCTGTTTTCAAGATAACGATAACTATTTACAGGAAATAATTAAGGCACTTAACAACACAAAATTATATCTTTTAAACAAATGTAATTAATATTTAAACCCATTAATCCGTTGATTGTTACATTCATATTTTGATTTTTCTAACAATTTAAAAACAAATTTAAACTTATAAAATTTTAAAATGTACCTCTGGTGTACTATTATATAAAATATTATCAGACGATGTTGTGAACTTGTGCATGATCAAAATTACTTTAAGAGGTTCAATTAGAGACTATTTAAGAAACCAGCTTCGTAAGATGTTCAAGCTTAATTTATTTAAGGAAAATAAAATGAATATTAGAATGAACCTATTGACTTTTAAAACAGTGCCATATTGAGCACCTAGAACACACAGAGGGTTAAATAGAACCGGCAACAGGCTGCTGCTGGCTGGCAACATTTAGCCCCCTTTGGGATGGAAATGCGGTGACTCAGTTCGTTTCTACGCCTCGTGTTGCACTCGCGATGTGTGTTGCATGTACATAGTGTGCTCCAAGTATGTTGCCTCAGATTCAGCATGTTGCATGCTGCTTGGCTCTTAACAGCTGCCGATGTTGCTGCTGTTGTTGCAGTTGCAATAGATGTTGCTGCTGTTGCTGCTCTTGCTGCTGCTGCGATTGCTGTTAGTGCTTTTCGCCACTATTTCTGTTTCTATTTCGTTGGGCACGCCAGAGCGACCGACTAAGTGCGGTCCTCGGGAGTGTTTTGTTGTCGTAAAACGGCTAATATATGGTCTTATGCTAAATATATTTTAGCAATATTTGTTGTGTGTGCTGCTGCCGTTTCAGCTGCTTCTTGGTGGGAGTTCGATTTGCTGAGTTTTTGCATTCGCACACTTGGTTTTTTGGGATGGTCGGGTAAAGGAGTAAAAACGCCGTGTAAGTCAGCTTTTTAATATGGAAACCCCTCACTTTGGCTCACATTTAAGTGCTAAAAAATTGTTTCTTACTCAATAAAAAGCCACACACATATTTGGCACTTTGAACAGTTCAAGGAAACTTGTTGGTGCTCTTTATTGCCATTGCCGGCTTCATCATAATTTTTAGGTTTATTTACTCGCAGCTACTGCAACCCATTCGCGATGACTGCTGCTGGACCATAAACATCGCATATGAGTGTTGCATGCAACGACAGCAACACCATCACCAGTAGCAGTAGCAATATTACAGTTTGAATGCCACTATTACTATGCCAACTGGCAACTTCAGTTGCAACTATGGCAAATGGGTTTTTGCGGAACTCGGCCGTAAACCCGCGCAGGAAATGTCCAATGCGGGATTGTTTAGTGTCACTTGGGCTCGCCGTTCTAATTTCGCAGGTCTCTATCACCTGGCTGGCTGGCTGACTGGCTGACTGGCTGGCTGACTTTTTCGGCTGTCGACTTATGCCACTTAAAATTACATTAAAAAAGTTTCCGCCAAGAGCAACAACTTCGCCCCGCCCCACAAAAAACTCGAAATGGTGAACTGGAAACTTTACCCGGCTTGTGCACTACCGATGTTGCTGCTGTTCTAGTTGCTGTTGCTCCGGTTGCTCCTGTTGCTGCTGCGTTTTTGTCCCGTTTTGTTTTTGCGCCACTGCAAATATGAAACTTTTGTTACTTAATTATTTTGTTTGTTGTTCTTGTTAATGTTTCTGTTCCTGCTGCTGCTGCTGCTGCTGCTGTTGCTGTTGGTATATTGTTATTAATTAATTGAGTTACACTTGCCGAGCTCTCCAACTCCCCTCTGCAGTTGTTGTTGCTGCCGGGCTTGTAGATGCTGCCAACGAGGTTCTTACTGCTGTTTGCCTAGTGGTGCGAATATTTTATGAATTTTTAAATTTCATTAACTCGACGTGTGCCGGCAACTTTGTGGCAGCCTGTGTCATATGTGTGTCGTCGACCCTTTTCGTGACTTTAGGCAAACGCTACCCGCCGTAACTATATGAGTGCAGGGGAAATTCATAAGTAAAGTTTGGAAAACCGATTACAAATGGTCAAAATATAATTAAGTGACATTTTTAAAAATTTAATAATGTAACTTTTACTAGTTCGTGTTCCTGCCTAACCAAAAGTGTCTTGCAGAAGGCTTCCATAAAGGTGGCCTAATGTTTGTTTTGTTGCAGTTCTGTAACCGCAAAGCGAACAGCAGTGCTTAAATATTATTCATACGCCGCGTTGGCCACGGCCAAAATCCTCATTGCAGCTTTCGTTTCGACTCGCATAACTATGTCAAATTAGTGTCTGGCTGCCTGGATGCGCTGCTCCAACTTTCCCAGCGGCCTATTCAGAAACTTTCCCGCTCCGCTCCTTGGGAAATCGTATTCAAATGCCGGCCAAACAAACAACAACAACTGGGGAGAGCAACAAAAAGCATTTTAATTGAATTAGAAAATGGCAATGGGTCAGAAGCACGTTTGTAATGCATAATTTATGTTTGCGCACTGAGTTTGTTTTGTGATTTCAGTTATTTTCCATTTTGCTGCGCTGTTGCTGCTGTTGCGAATCCCCTCGAATCCGAAACCGAATCCAAATCCAAATCCAAATCCGAATCCGAATGCCGCAAACGTTTTGCCCGATTTTTTTGAGGCCAAAATTTTCATAATCTTTTGGTGCAATAGAAAATTGCCATGGCAGTAGCAACTGCAAACTGCAAACTTCCACTGCAGTTATGAATATCATTGCGAGCGCTTTAATGAATGAACCCTGGCTAAGAAGGCCATCAATGGATGTGTGTGTGTGTGTGTGTGTGTGTGTGTGGTAAACTATGGATATGGCTGAGTGGAAAGTGCGTCTGACAGCCATGGATGCAGCTCCTCCTCGACGAGGAGTCATCCTGCAGGCAGCTGTCAGGCGCACTTGCATTACATTATTGCCGCCTCCACAATGGCTAAACTGAACAACAAGTTGCATTTTCTATTTGCAAAACATTTATTTCCAAACATTTATTTTTCTCTGCCTATTTGTTTATTGAAATTGTTATAAATTCCAAGCTGCATTTTATTCTGTCATTTATTTACTTTGAAGCAATCTGGTGTGGGGGACTCGTGACTAATTTATTTTAATCAAACATAGATTTTATCTCCCATCGCCCATCAGTTATATTCTGTCTGCTTGGCATTCCTGTATCTTTAGAAATTCTTGTTCGATAGTGTGATTTGCTATTGCTGCCGTTGTTTTTGTGTCTCGAACTCAGGACTCATTTGATATGCGGGCTCAGTAATGCGCCCACACGTCGATGCTGAAACAATGCCAGGCATTTTTATGTGCCATGCGATATTTTATAAAATACGTACATATTTATATGTAGTATGTACATATACGCGACGCGTCGGTGGAGGAATATTTTGTGAGTAACGACCGCTCAAGTGCATCTTAAAGATACTTTTGCAGCATTGTGCTGCTGGCTTCAACTCGAGTGGATTGGATTGCGAGCATTTGATGCTCTACCAAAGGCGGCTGCCTATTGTGGCCACAGCCACAGCCACATCCGCAGCCGCAGTCCACCCCTTTCTCCCCTCAATTTGTGTAGGGGTTGATATATGAGCTTTAATGTGCATTAACTCTTGTGCCATATTTCTCGGCTCCTTCGCGGAGAATGGGGTTAATTACGCGTTTACGGCTCCGGCTCCGTGGCTCCGTGGCTATGGAGAATCTCGGCCGCAAGTATTTATTGGTCGATTTGATTTATGTGCCCGGCCATGTGTCTCTGCCTCTAAGATGCTGGCCCAAAACTTATGGCCGTGTTGTTTGGCTACCTGAAAAGCATTGCCCATTGAAATACGGACCACAGCGATTTGCATGCCCAACCATATTTTTGTGTAATCGCCCACTTCCTAACTACTTATGCGTAATTTAAATATTTTTATAATTTCATAAAGGAATGGCCACAAAAACCGCTGAGTTGGCGGAAAAAGCCTCAAAAAGTGAAAAATACCAATTCATGTTGCTCAGCCAAAATGACACAGAGCAGCGCACAACCCATAATCATGGCTAAACATAAAAAACCAGCCAGACAATTCTAATTGTCAGCCTCTTTCGGCGTTTTGTGCTAAAGATTTCATTTCATTCCGTTTCGTTTTCGGGTCGCAATTTTTCAGCATTTTGCTAATACCCACTTTAAGAGGGACGTAAAATAAAAAAGAAATAAAAAAGAGGCGATCGATGGAGAGCTTATTCCATAGGGGCTCAGCGATTTTCGAGCAGAACCCTTCATTAGGCACACGAAGGGGCCAGCGACGATCTTCGACAACTCATGTTTATAAATTGGTCTATAATTTCGAATTATTTGTCCAGCTTACGGTTGCTTCTGCAGTTTTCGTCGAAATTTCATATTTTTTCCTTGGCGAAAAACTGTTTTTTCAGGCCCGACTAATTGC